GCTTTCTCTTTGCTTGTTTTTTTGTTTGTTTATAAGCAGAGTTAGGTTGTCACCTGTTTAAAATAATTGGTTATAAGATTTTTTTTGCAAACATCATAATAACCTCAAATCAAGAAACCTACAACAGATACACAAAAATGAAAAGCAAGAAATTAAAATGCACTACCAGAAAGAATCACTTTTACACAAAGGAAGACAGGAAGAAAAGAAGAAAGAAAGAGAAGACTGCAAAACAACCAGAAATCAAATAACAATATGGCTATAGTAAGTCCTTACCTATCAATAATATCATTGAATGTAAATGGACTAAACTCTCCAATCAAAAGACATACAGTGGCTGAATGGATTAAAAAATAAGACCCACCTATATCTTGTTTACAAGAAATGCACTTCACCTATGAAGACACACAGACTGAAAAATAAAGGGACAGAAAAAGATGTTCCAAGCAAATGGAAATCAAAAAAATAGCAGGAGTAGCTATACACTTATTGGATAAAATAGATTTCAAGACCAAACCTATAAAAAGAGATAAAGAATGTCATTTTATAATATAAGGATGAAGGGGTCAATTTAGCAAGAGGGCATAATAATTCTAAATACATGTGCACCCAACATTAGAGCATATAGATATATAAAGCAAATATTATGGGAGCTAACAAGAGACCCCAATACAATAATAATACTCAGAGACCTCAGCACCCCACTTTCAGCATTGGACAGATCATCCAGACAGAAAATCCAACAAAGAAACATCAGACTAAATCTGCACTGTAGACCAAATGGATCTAATAGATATTAATACTTACAGAAAGTTTTATCCAACAGCTGCAGAATACATATTCTTCTCCTCAGCACATGGGTAATTCTCAAGGATAGACCATATATGTTAGGCCACAAAACAAGTCTTAAAAATTTCAAAGTAATTGAAATCACATCAAATATTTTCTCTGAACATAATGGAATAAAACTAGAAATCAATAACAACAGAAGCAGTAGAAACTATACAAACACATAGAAATTAAACAATATGCTCCTGAATGACCAGTTTGTCAATGAAGGGATTAAGAATAAAATATAAAAATATCTTGAAACCTATGAAAATGTAAGCACCATATGCCAAAATCTATGGAATATAGAAACAGCACTATTAAGAGTAAAATTTATAGCAATAAGTGCCTACATCAAAAAAGTAGAAAAGATTCAAATAAACAACCTAATGATGCAACTTAAAGAACTAGAAAAATCAAGAGCAAAACAAATCAAAATTTAGCAGGGGAAAGAAAAAAAATAAAGATTTGAGCAGAAATAAATGAAATTAAAACAAAAGGAAAAAAACAGAGCAATGAAATTAATAGTTGATTTTTTT